CACCCCACACACACACACACACACACACACACACACACACACACACACACACACTCACATGTTGGGTTTCCATGTTTTATTGGTTCATTCCATAGGCAACTGTCCACACTATATATGCTATCACTACCTACATCTACCCCTCACAGAAAACTTTCTGCATTTTTACATTCTCAAAAAAACGAATTCTGTATGATTTATAGGCTTGTTTCCTCATTGGGACCAAAACATTTTCCCACAAGGATTTTGGATATTACCATCTTTGTGGGGATATTCTTTCCTCATAACGTAGGGTATACCTGAACACACACACACTCAAACACATAAAACCATTAGTTCATTTTTTAATGCCATACTAAACATGTTTACATTAAACATTTTAAAAAATGTGGCGTGACAAATGAATTTCAAAAAGTACAAGACTATTTTCCTTGAATGTCATGAAATTGCTTATAGAATAATATCAGCTATAGTAGAGTAAGATTCATGTCATTTACATGTTTTAACACAAATTATTAACAAGCTGTAACTTAAAAGTAAAACAATTAAATGCACATAATAATTAAATGCATGACAATAAAAACTCTCAGACACTTGCACTCTCATGCACTCTCAGACATGCACTCTCAGACACTTGCACTCTCGGACGTGCACTCTCAGACATGCACTCTCAGACACTTGCACTCTCAGACGTGCACTCTCAGACACTTGCACTCTCAGACGTGCACTCTCAGACACTTGCACTCTCAGATGTGCACTCTCAGACACTTGCACTCTCAGACGTGCACTCTCAGACACTTGCACTCTCAGACTTGCACTCTCAGACACTTGCACTCTCAGACTTGCACTCTCAGACACTTGCACTCTCAGACTTGCACTCTCAGACACTTGCACTCTCAGACTTGCACTCTCAGACTTGCACTCTCAGACACTTGCACTCTCAGACACTTGCACTCTCAGACTTGCACTTCTCAGACACTTGCACTTCCGCTAGCGACGTCACTTGCAGGCTTTATTATTTTTCATTTTGTTCTATTTATTGATAACTTTTTGTTTGAATCTCTGAATCTTGAACGCACCACCGTTTCCGTTTAAAACACGTTTTGCACCGTTTTGTCGGGGCTGAACGCAGCCCTGTTGTTTTTGTTTCGTGCAGATGTTTTATGTAGCAAATAAATAAATAACACCTAAAGTCAGACCATTCTTTTTTTGTTTTAAATCCTGAAATTAATCTAAATCAAATAAAAAACAACTGCCCGTGCAGATCGTGATTAAAATGCAGTGGT